ATCAAAAAGGAAAAAATTATTGACATATAGTCGACTTAATCCTCAATGTTTTGATCATAATAAACAAGATTATTTTTATTTCTAACAAATTCTTTTTAGTGATGATAATTCAATGTTCAAATCAATCATGTATTATTGGATTTCAAATGAAGATCAAAGTAGAAGCCATGTATTCAAGTCAAATCATTCAAGACAAAAAGTTTAAGAGATAAATGCTAAGAAAGATCAAGATCAAGAGCGTGAGAGACAACATCAAAGAAAGATCAAGACGAGGTAAACTTCAGAGTAAAGACTTGATTTTTTAGGCAAAATGTAAAGGTACTAATGCTTTGATATTTGACAAAGAATAGTTAAACTCAAAATCTTGCTATACATTAAAAATAATTTTTATGCACTAAAATAATTCGAATGCAACCTTTTTGATCAAACATGAAAATCACTTTTAAAAATGATATATGAACTTTAAAGACATTTTATTATGAAAATTTAGTTAAAAATATTCTTCAAAAGTCCATACACTTCAAAACTTTCAAATCGGAACAAACGAAGCCAAAACGTGAAAAGACCACACTGTTGGGACAGTTAATCGCCCAGAGAGGCTGTCGACCGGACTCCCTCCAATGGTTCAGAATTTGACCGTTCTGACTTCTGATTTTTACTGTACAAACAGCTATATTGGTCTTCCGGACAAGAGGCGGTCAACCGGACAAATCATCCGCAAATTCACATATTTTAACATTTTGGACTCTATAAATACCCCAACCTCTTGCATTTATTATTATCACTTCCAAGTGCATTAAATTGAGGTACATTCAAGCTTTAAATCTCTACTCTTTATTTATCTCTATCAATTCATTCACTTTTGAAAAACTTTTGATTGAGTTTACTTTTGAAAATCATTTCATTTATTAAATTTTTTTCAAACCTAACACTTGAGCTTCACCTTATTGCCATGCATTAAAGTTTTAGCCTACTTCTTTCTATTGTACTCAACTTTGAATATATCTTTATTGTGAAAGAAGATTCCTTTCTTGTAAAGTTTACTTTTGATTGAATTGTGAGTCGTGTTAAGGTCCCAAAAAACTCAACGTTGTAAAAGGATCGGTGCTCCTTGTTTGTAAGTCACCGAAAGCTTTGTAGAAGATTGAATTGCACCATAAGTTAATCACATTTAGTGAAAAACGCCTTGTTCATGAAGAAGAGCTTGGTTACGGGGGACGTAGATCGTGATTGGATCAAACCTCCATAACACATCGTATGCATTCTCTATCATTTTCTCTTGTTATTTTTCAAAGTTATCTTGCTTACTCTTTATTTTATTTACAAATTATTTTTATTAGCACTTATTATTGAAAAAGATTTAAATAATCAATTCACCCCCTCTTGATTAGTCATTCTTGGGCTTTCAGAGATGAGGGGACGTGGTGGTTACATTTATGAGTATTATGAAATGAATTTTTTTTTGGGTTGTCAATATGATCCACTATTTCTTCAGCTGGATTTTTATTGGGATCTTATAAATAGTGTTCTCCTATTGAACCATATTGAAAGAGCTTTCATGAGCTGGAAGATTGATGAATTTGAGCATTAATATTTTCTCTTTCAGCTGCATTTAAAGAGATTGTGATTTACATTGATATATTCTATCGAGGATTAATAGATACCCTTAAGTGAAATTATAATGTCATGGTCCCTGTTTCTAGACAACCAGTGAGACACCTAACAAACCATTTAGAGTTAGAGTTGGTATATATAATTTTCAGGTATTGCCCAAATGGTGAAGAATGTTAAATTTATGTTATAGTATGAGTACTTGAATAGATGACGTTCACTATGATTGAGAAGTTAGGCACATGTAATCTAAGTATTATGGTGTCTGGATCTTGACAAAGTAAGTATCATGATCATATTTAGTGATATCAAGAGGCTTGATGTAATTAGATGCTTAAGGTCATGTATGATATGTATGTAAGAGATTACATAATTATGAGAGGTATAGACCGCCACGTTTGGTCCTATGGTGAATTAATGCAATGGCAAATTGGGATTATGAAGTAAATTGATATTTTTATGAACATGTTGGAATCAGGAGGTCTTTTAGTTCTAGTTTCTCTCTGGTTGAGTATTTTCCATTTATGTATTGAATTTAATAATACTTAGATGTAATGGATTCAGTGAACGGTCCTCTTTCGATATTGATTTGAGTTTTCCATGTGAGAATGGTTGCTGTTAGGGACTAAACAAGAATTTTGGGATTTAAAGTTTGAAATAGGTTGCCAACTAGAATAAATGATGATGGTCTTAGTCGTGAGGAAATTCAATTCCTTAGTCAAGGTTGAGCCATGCCATGTGTTATCTATGAGATAATCTTAGCTTGATATCGTCAAGCAATTATGTTATTAGAATTGATTCAAGGTTATTTAAATTTAAATAAGAGATCAGTATATTGGAATTTTGTAAAGTTATTTGGGTTGGATGATATTCAGTTTACTCCTATGGATCCTAAAATAGCACATTTTGCCCCATTGATGCACACATTATAAAAGTTATCGATGGTATGTTAGTTTATTTTGTGGGCTAGGGCAATAAACAATGTAAATTGTGATTGGAGTAATGATGTTATTTGGTTGCGTTAGCTCAGTAAAGTGAATAAGAAAGCATTCCCATGACCTTGTGTCTTGAGATATATACAGGTGAGAATGGATAAGGAAATTTGAAATTTGTAAGATCGGTACTTACTCTATATTGCTGAATATGGGCAATCAAAGTGGGAATGGAAATAGAAATTTAGAAGAGTAGTAGAGGATAAACAGAATGTGCATAGGGATATCGCATAGATTTATTATATATAAAGATGACAGGATTCCAATAGGCTGGTATCATGTACATAGATGTACAAGCATTAGGAATCAATAAAAAGGAAAGAATACATGTAAGGATGACATTTAAGGTTCTGAGAAGACAAATAATAGAAAAGAGGCAAGACAAAGTTTAAATTTAGAATGCAAAGTGTAGAGAATGGAGTTAGAATTTATTGAGTTGGACAATTTACATATAAAATCTTGGTGGTATATCGATGCGTGAAAGGTTTACGTGAAAAATATGAAGATTATTATTTTATGATCTTACAGAAAATTGATATAAATGTTTTAGGTCATACGAGATGATGTTAAATGACAAAGTTACATGATCATGACATGAAATGGTAAATAGCGAGTAAATGAATGTTATGGTTGTCTTATGGCAAAATAATGGGATGAGATATTTGGCTTATTAAGTTAATTAATTTTGTCAAGGCCATTTGTTGGATTATTATGTTATATTACATATCATTTGAAAGATTCGAGCTAAATTTTTAAGTTAAGGCGAATTTAATAAATTTTAAGTAATGAAATTTTTGGGTTTTTATTTATTTATTTATTTTTTTTTTTTTGTAATTTTGGATCTCATGAGTAAAATATTCTATTCTTATCAAGGTCTATTCGTTATGGAATATACGGATGATATGTTGGATAGTTTAAGCCTATGGAGATTATCAAATGTAAATTTTTCTCAATTGTGAAATGGTATCTTTTAATTACATTATCTTATTTAAAGGTCTTTATGTAATATACAAAAAAGCTTATGCATTGGCAATAGGTCAATGACCTCCTTATGGTATAAGAGTGTAGAATTATCATGGTTTAAATGTTATTTTTGTCTCTTCATAGAAAGAAAGAGCACCAAAATTGTGTAGGTATAGGAATGTAAAAAGCTTTGTTATCAGATTACATTATCATGAGATATGTACTCTCATATCTAAAGTTGATGAGGGCCTGATTTATGATAATGAATTATGTTAAGATTTAGAAAGTATCCTGAAGTAAATGATGAATTATAGATTATACTATAGATTGTTAAAGAGATATGATTAAGACAAGTTTAGAAGAGAGGCTATCAACTATGATTTGTTAATTAAAGAGGACTTGGATAATTATCTAATTTTTCATGGAATTGATATATAAGAACTAGACACAAGTGACGATATATGATATTGAAATATTCCAAGGACATATTTATTGTGATGAAATTGGCGCAGGAATGTTAATCGGGTTTCACAGAGGAAGAAGTTTTGAAGAATATGTATAGTAGTATCTTGAATTTCAAATTGGAAAATTATGGAATTTTCCTAAGATTTGGTAAAATGAAAGTTGAATATATCATATATTTGTCTTTGAGATGTTATTTGGAACTTGAGTCCAATTGTTTAATGATGGAGTTTGCAATGAGGTTATCTGATATTTAATAATATATGGTCTATTTCTAAGACTTAGCTAATAAATATCAGATTTAATTTACTCTTTAAGATTACTAGTGAAGTTAAAAGAGAGCTCAGCTTAGAGAAAGACAAATAAGATGCTAGATATGAAAGAATGAAATGATTAGTTATAGGTTGCCGAATAAATAATTCATTATGTGTTCTTTATACCTTTATGGATATTGAATTCTAGTTAATTGAATTTCGAGGACGAAATTCTTTTAAGGAGGTAAAATTGTTACATCCCAATTTTTACTAGTCAAAGGTTAATATTATTTATTCAAAATCAAATGTTCGACTAGTCAAAGTCAAGTTAATTAAGGACTTAAATGAAATAAATTATTTTATAGGTTTTATTTTATAATTGACATTACTTTTATGGCCATCATTAATCTTGGGGATTTAGTTTATAAATATGGAAAGATTAATGACTGGATTTTATGCAAAACATAAGAAGGGACTTAAATAGCCAATATGGGAGTTAGTGGAGGACAAGTGCCATTTTAGACCATTTCTTCATTTTTCTTTCATTTCATATCCACTTATGTTGAAGCTGAATAACTGGGGACAGTGACTGAGGCGAAAACCAGCAGAAAGAAAGAGAAAAAGAGAAGAAAAGAAAAGAAGAAAAAGAAGAAGAAAAGAAAAAAAAGAGGGAAGAAAAACTTGAGTGCCATTGTTCAATTTCTTCATTTCTTAAAGAGGTAAAGAAATAAATGTTTCGTAATATAATGTATATTAAATTTTCTAGATTTCTAAATGGTTGGTTTAATTTCAGATTTAAGGGAAAAGTATGGTTTCAAGCCAATATTTTTTGATTTGTGAAAGATTTTGGTATCAAGGTAAGTTATTCCATTTTTTGTAAACCTTAGAATTTTTAAATAGATTCTTGAGTAAAGATAGTCTGGGGAAATTATAGTGATGATGAAAATTTTACTTGAAAGTATGATTTTATGGAATAAGGTGTAAAATTAAATTGGTTAAATTATGATTATTAGTTTTACTAGTTTGGAAGAAGGAATTATTTTTATGTTTGGAGTGAAGACTATTGTGATGAATTAGCTATTAAGAAATAGACTAGAAAGCGAAATTAGCTTGAAGTGATTAGAGGAAATTGGGGAAAATTATTTTAGTATTGAGAAGTCAACTTTTAGTATTCGATTAATAATATTAAGAGATACTTAGTATGGGAGTTGTTAATTAGTTATTTTATATTGTATTTCAGGTAGTGACGTGAAAGTTGGGCAAGGCCTGTAAATTTAACCAGATTGCAATACATAGATCTGTGAGTGGAGACCTTTCAAAAAGAAAATTTTATTTTTATTTTATAGAAGCATAATAATTACATGAATATCTTATTTTCGAGAAATTAGTAAATGAGCATGATTATTTTGCAATCATCAAAAAATAACTAATGTAATTACCTTAATCTTATACACTAAGGGGCTACGGCCGTGTACTAGAGTCATGTATTTAACTCCTATACACTGAGGGGCTATGGTCGTGTATAAGGATGATTATGTTGTTTCCATTGTGTACACTAAGGGTCTACTGTCGTGTACTAGAGTCATGTATCTAACTCCTATACACCGAGGGGCTACAACCGTATGTAAGGGTAACTCTTATCCACTGAGGGGCTACGGCCATGTGTAAGGGTACCTATTATATAGTGAGGGGCTACAGCCGTGTATAAGAATGATTATATTGTTTTCATCTTGTACATTGAGGGGTTACGGCTGTGTACAGAGTGTTGATCAGATGGTTTATTTGCATATGACTTTATAGCTTTTAGTTCATTCAGTTGATGTGAATTTTATGTATATAGTGAATTATTAGTCTTCATCTTACATTTCCTCCCTTACAGTTCAGCTTATGGAATTTAGATTATAGAATTCAATTTGTTCAGTTTTCAGAGTAAAGCTTCCAGTTTATAGTATTGAGCAACAACAATATTTCACAGATTTTCATGGATGTCAGATTATTTATATTCGTTATATTTTACAGTTATTGAACTAGAATAAAGAATCTTATGATCCAATTATGTCAGTTTTAAAAGTGTTATTAGATTTATGAATTTCTCAAAGTTTTAATAGAGCAAGAATTATGCATATATGAAAAAGTATACTTATTTTTAATTTATCCACTCACTGAGTTACAAACTCATGTTTTGTTACCCTTTTCTTAGCAAATAGCAAATATGTTGAGTAGCCTTGGAGCCGGTCGATCCCCCAAAAGTTCCACACACACACAGTGTCATTAGATGTATGACTCATTTCGTCAATTTATATAGTTCAAATTTCTTTTAGGATACATGTATGTTTTGACAGAAACGTTAATTGGTAATTTATAGATCCATATCATGGGCTCACTGCATATTTAGTACTCTTATTGCTTTTGGGATCTTTTGTTTATAAAACATGGTAAATATCTTGAATAGTTTGTATTTTGAAGGACTAGCGTGTTATATTTTAAATTATATGTACAATTTTGATAAAGTTGATATTTGTTCAGGTGATTTAGTCCATACTTTAAAGGAAATTGTCAAAATTTTTATATAAATATGTCATAGTCAAAGTAGATCAAGTTCACCTTGTGGTGGGTCCAGCTCTTAGCTGGTATTTACCGTCAGCGCACGACATGTGTCAGGTCTATTAGGGTGATTCGGGACGGGTTGTGTCATCCTTACTTTTAATTAATTAGAAACAAGCGATCTAATTAATTCTCATTACCAAACAATCCTAGACAAGCTCGATAATTTAATTTAATAATGGTTTTCCGAATTAGAGAAATCGATGAACTACATAACACAAGCTTAGCGTTTGCATTTAACCTAGATAAATATTCTTCCTAAAATTTAATAATTTCCTATAGCAGCAAATTACTAATCCTAGTTGCTTCACAAGTTAAATTAATCAAACAATTACGGATTTGATATTTAACTTAGCTAAAGATTGAAACACATGATAAACTAATGGATCTTTTTAGTAATCAAACATAAAAATCATGAAATCAAGCATAGAAGAATATTCACTACTGAAAATATAAATTAAACAATGAAAATCAGGTAGATCTCACAATTGAAAACGATTGCAAGGCTTTAATATCCTTCAACCTAGAGATGAAGTTTAGCTATACATCAATAATCTTGAGCACAAAGAGAGAAAAAATAGGGTTGGGGGCGATCTCTAGGTTTTGGATGAGATTTGGGGTATATATATAATGTACAAGATTTGTTTCCATAAGAATTTCAATTAGAAAAGGAAACCAGATTTTTCTCTCTGCGATTGACCTGGGCTGTCGCTTGGGCAAAACTAGGGCAGTCATTCAGGCATGGCTTTTGGCTTCGGTAATTGATTTTTGGTGTTGGGTGGTCGCCCGAATTTTATAACTGGCCCCAGACAGAATTTCTTCTAAAAGTTGTATTTTATTCCCGAATTCAATTTTTGATTTTTTTAAATCGTTTTTCTTGCAATTTCAACCCTTGAACTTCTAATTGTCTCCAATTGAACCCTCAACATCTTTAATCTTCATTCCATTGCTCGTCTCATCTAGAGATTATTTGTAACTTGGTCCCTGAACTTTCAATTTCTTTCATTTAAGTATTTTTTTGCTCTTTTCTTCTATTTTATGCCATGATCATCCAAATGCAACCTAAATCACAATATAAGGATACTTAGCACATTTAGGTGTTAATTAATCATAAAAATGCAAGAATTAATGGATGTAAATCACAACATTTCATGTCTTATCAAATTCCCCCACACTTAGCTTTTTCTCGTCCTCGAGTAAAACTCAAACTCACTTTCATAGGGTTGCAATGCCACATACATAGAGCAATCAAACTCTTCAAAACACATAACAATTCATGGATAAACATTCTCACACAACTTATAATTAATTAGCAGGCATTCTCAAAAGAAGATGGATGAACCAAACAAGTAGGCCCTAACAGAAGTAAGCGCTCAACTTTCATATGTTTAATGGGTAAGTGTTTTGCTCAAGTTCATTCGAATGGAAGTGTCCTACCATACACTTGCATATTTTCTCATTCTCCACTAATTAGATCACGTGTATTACACAAATCATAAGGTCTATTTCACAGGTTGTAATGTGGGCTAGGGTCCAGGTGTGAGATATTTGAGTAAGTAACTCAAAAGTCATAGAAACTAGTGGAGTAAAGATAAATTAACTCAGCTCAAATGTATACATAAAACATGTAAGATCAAATCTCTCCACTCATAACTTCTTTGCATCTAGTTCATACGACCCAATCCTTTTCTTGTGATGTTAGAAAGAATCACCAACATAGAATAATTTTGTAATATTGAAAACCATTTACTCCAGTACTTCTTTCTTTTTCAACATTTTTTCCTCTTTTTCGATTTTTTTTTCAAAACATCACACTAATAATGGAACTTATGCATTGTAATTGAAAACATGTTCCATTCCACCAATCATAGTCTTACTGAAATTTTAGACACCCCTACACTTATTTCTTTCGCACTCCCATATGTATCAAAATGAAGAACAACACTCCACTAACTTTACGGCTTGGGTAAAGATATTGCTTTTCCAGATTTAAAGCTTGTAACATGGGTTGAAAAAAAAAAGGCTATAAGGCTCAGAGGGGTTCAACAAAGGAAAAAATTAATTACAGGGAAGGCTATTTGGCTAAGATGGTGAACTTATGCAATAAAGATGGCCTTAATCATGTTCGTGCATGCATGTATCAATATGACCTCGAAGAGAATCAAGGCAAATTCTAGATAAACAAATCCATGGAAGAAAATCACTCATGAAAGAAAATAGTGAGACCGATATGTGTGTGTCAGTGTGAAGGCTCAAAATCTCACTGATTTTTTGTCTACGAAATCTAGTTACTACCATCCTCAAAGAAAATTGCCACACTAATTAACTCTAAGTTGGGATATTACTTATTCAATCATGTTATAAATTTTTCAGAAGTTTAATTGAATATAGCAAATAGCATACACAACTAAAATTGTTCAAACCCACTTTGTTTTCTTCACCTTATATCGAAGTTTTATCAAAAAGTCAAAAATAAACACAAAAATACGAATTGAAAATTTTAGACTCAACCTAAATTTCCTCCCCCATACTTAAAATTTACATTGTCCCCAATGTAAAGTAATATGTCAAGAAGATAACAAATTTAACCTAAAATATGAATACAAATACGAAACGAAAAGAAAAATAAAAAGTAAAGGAATGAACTCCCCTTGGGTTGCCTCCCAAACAGCGCATTTGTTTATTGTCTTTGGCTAAACTTATTGCTTCATTCTCCTTCCTCAACCGGCATCAATTGGGTTCCTAAGGTCCCATATTCTCACATCATCCATTTGGAAACCTACATAGAAAGGCTTCTCGTTAGCAATTGGCAAAACAATATGTGAACTTTTACGTGACTTTGGAGAAGCATTCAATGTTGCAATGGTTTCCTGCAAGACAGTATTCAAGGTAATCCCTGATTCACATCTTCAGTATGCTTATCAATGACAACTTTCACTGCATTGTTTTCATCAAGTTCTAAAACCTCTTGTTCTAAATTATCAATCACTTGAATAGAATAAACAATGTTAGTTTTATCAGGATGTTTCATAGCATCATAAATGTTAAATTCACCGATTTTATCATCAAATTCCATAGTAAGCATGTCACTATAAAAATCTATTTTAGCTTTGGATGTCCTTAAGAATGGTCTTCCTAGCAAAATGGGGATAGTTTGATCATTATATCCCATATCAAGCACAAAGAAGTCAGCAAGAAAAATTAAATCATTAATGTTCATGAGAACATCCTCAACTACACCCTTAGGATAAGCATTAGATTTATCGGCTAGTTGAATTATGACACCAGTTTCATTCAAAGGTCCAAGTTTTAAAGAAGCGTATACAAAGTATGGCGTGACATTAATAGAAGCTCTTGAGTCTAACATGGCCTTTTCAAACCTAGAGTTACCTATCATGCAAAGGTTGCTAAATATGCCTGGATCTTTGCACTTTGTAGGGAGATTTTTTTTGGATAATTGCAGAAACATTTTCCCTACATTTATCTTTTCATATCTTTTAAGTTTTTGTTTTCTTTTAATGGTACACAATTCCTTCAAGAACTTAGCATAACGAGGTACTTGTTTAATAGCATCCAACAATGAAATGTTTACTTCACATTTACGGAAAGTTCCATAAAGCTCATGATTATGTTCATCTTTCCTAGGTTCTACTAAAGCCTGAGGGAAATGGGACGCTGGTTTATACTCAGAAATGAGTGGAAACTTATGCTTAGGTACGCCATCATCGTTGGGAACACTCTTTTCTTCAGTGATATCTTTCTCATTTTCCTACTCCAATGATGTAAGGTTTGCCTTTGGAATTTCAACCTCCTTACCATTTCTTAACAAGATCGCACTTATATTTTTCCTTGGATTGACCATTGTTTGAGAGGTAATTTTCCCGAACCTTGTGCTTCCAACTTGTTGATTGCGGTTGCCATTTAACCCATTTGATTCTCCAAACTTTTAATACTTGCCCTTGCTTCATGTTGGAATTGTTTTGTTTCCTATTGAAATTGTAAAGTGTTAGTGGCCAAAGAGTTAACAACATCTTCTAAAGGCATACCTGAACTTGAAGTTTGGTCCTGTTGTTGTCTAGGAGGATATGGCTGCCTGTATTGCTGGAAGTTTGGTTGATTCACTTTTTGATTCCCATAGCTAAGATTAGGATGATCCCTCCATCCTGGATTGTAGGTATTCGAGTAAGGATTATAATTTCTTTGTGGTTGTCCAGGAAAGCTCCCTACTGCATTAACTTGTTTATCTTCTTGAAGAGTTTGACACATGTCAGTTGGATGTCCTGCCACCCAACAAATTCCACATGTTTTCGCTATTTGCATATTACTTGCAGCCATTTGTCGAACAAGAGAAGTTAGACTTGCAAGTTGTTATTCAATAGATGAAACATTTAGCTCATTAACAGGTCCAGAAGGGGTGTCGAGCCTAGTGCCAAATTATTGAGAGTTGGCTGCCATGTTTGCAATCAAATTCCTCGCGCCCTCAGGAGTTTTATTTCTAAAGCTCCTCCACTTGCAGCATCAATCATACTCCTATTTGTGGGTATAAGCCCTTCATAAAAATACTGGATGAGTAGGTTTTCACTGATTTGATGATGGGGACAGCTTGCACACAATCGCTTGAAACGCTCCCAATATTCATGTAAGGATTCCCTGCTATCCTGCATTACGCCACAAATTGCTTTTCGGATGTTTACTGCCCTTGAAGCTGGAAAATATTTCTCTAAAAAAACCTCTTCATCTCCTCCCAGATGGTAATACTTTCGGATGGTAGATAGTAAAGCCAATCCTTAGCCGAATCCTTCAATGAAAATGGGAAAGCTCTCAATTTGATTTTCTCTTCTGTTACCCTGTGGGTTTCATACTCATGCATACCACATGGAATTCCTTTAAATGTTTGTGGAAATCTTCACATGCAAGACCATAAAAAGAAGGCAAAAGATGTATTAGTCCGAATTTTAATTCAAAAGTAGTATTAGTATCTAAATTAGGGAAAGTTATGCATAAGGGTTGTTGATGCAAATCCGGAGCTGAAAGCTCTTTCAAAATTTGATTCCTAGCCATGCCAATCCTCAACCTGCGCAAAGTTCTTTCTATTTCTAGATTGCACTGCAAACCACATTGGATAGAGGATCGAGTTATGGGCATAAACAATCAAGGAAGCAAAAAGAAAGAAAAGACTAAACAAAATCTTTTTTTTTTAAACAAAAACTAATGAAACAAATAAAAGCACAAAAATAAACCAAATCACTCATCAACAACAGCACCAAAATTTGGTGCGTACTATCACAGGCACTCCAAATTAAAACTTATACTCCTCAAAATAAATGTAGTAGTGAAAGTAAGGATTGATCCCACAAAGAGTGTTTAGTCTATCTTTTATGCTAAATTAACTAAAAAGGGGGGGTTTGGTTTTGAAACAAACAATTATTAAAAATGGCAATTAACGTAAACATAAATTATCAAATTAAAGGAAATCAATAGAACGAACCTTGGTCTAAATCAACATCCACAGTTGGAGATTTACAATTGGTCATTGATCCACAAATAATTATTAATTCATACTTCTAGTATTCATCGTTGGAAATAATTTTCCATTCGAAACAATTTCCTATTTCTCCTTACTTTTATTTAATTAGCAACAAGCGATCTAATTAATCCTCATTACCAAATAATCCTAGACAAGCGCGATAATTTAATTTAATAATGGCATTCCGAATTAGAGAAATCAATGAACTAAATAACACAAGCCAAGCGTTTGCATTTAACCTAGATAAATATTCTTCCTAAGATTTAATAATTTTTCAAAGTAGCAAATTACTAATCCTAATTGCTTCACAAGTTAAATTAATCAAACAATTACGGATTTGATATTTAACTTAGCTATAGATTGAAACGCATGATAAACTAATGGATCATTTTAGTAATCAAACATAACAATCATGAAATCAAGCATAGAAGAATATTCAATACTGAAAAAATAAATTAAACGATGAAAATTAGGTAGATCTCATAATTAAAAAGGATTCCAAGGCTTCAATATCCTTCGACCAAAAGACGAAGTTTAGCAATACATCAATAATCTTGAGCACAAAGAGAGAAAATTAGGATTGGGGGCGTTCTCTAGGTTTTGGACGAGATTTGGGGTATTTATATCATGTACAAAATTTGTTTCCATAAGAATTTCAATCAGAAAAGGAAACCCGATATTTCTCGCTGCGATTGACCTGAGCGGTCTCCCGGATTTTATAACTGAGTTGTCGCCCAAGCAAAATTTCTTCCAAAAGTTGTATTTTAGTCCCGAATTCAATTTTTGATTCTTTTAAATCGTTTTTCTTTCAATTTCAACCTTTGAACTTCTAATTGTGTCCAATTGAACTTGCAACATCTTTAATCTTTATTCCATTGCTCGTCTCATCTAGAGATTATTTGCAACTTCGTCTCTGAACTTTTAATTTCTTTCATTTAAGTCTTTTTTAGCTCTTTTCTTCTATTTTATGCTATGATCATCCAAATACAACCTAAATCACAATATAAGGGTACTTAGCACATTTAGGTGTTAATTAATCATAAAAATGCAAGAATTAATGGATGTAAATCACAACATTTCATGTCTTATTACACAATAATTGACAATTCTCAGTAAAACAATTTCTATGTAATTTGATTTCCTGAAATTCGTTTTCTTTCCATCCAAATTCCATTTTTATAATCAAATGAACCTTTAGATTTTTTATTTTTATATTGGTGTAAAATGATAATTACAATTCAATATTCTAACATTTGAATTTTATAGGATGAAATATTATCTAGATGTAGTAACTGGCCACGACTAAACAGTGCTACAACAAGTGCCTCTTTTATGAAAAAAAAATATTTATAATATAAATAATATTTAATTAAAATTAAAAAAAGTAAGTTTTATCATAAAGAGAAAAGAGTTAAAAAAATTAAATAAAAATTTATTTATAATATGAACAAAACAAATAAAATAAATGAGGAACGGAGATAGAGAGAAACCTCTCCATAACAATCTCCGTGTTATGGAGATATTATGGAGAACATCACACGGAGAGTGTGATGGAGAGTTTTCTCCCTTTTTTGGTTTTTTTTTTTTTTAATTTTTTTGTTCATTATATAAATATTTTTTTAGTTAAATTTCTTTCTAATTCTTTTCTCTTTATGATAAAACTTAATTTTTCAATTTAAGTTAAATATTATTTACATATTCTTTATTTAATTTTCGTAACTTTCTTTTGTTTGATTTATTATATATATATATTTTTTGAAAATTGCTTTAAAATTTCTTTTTTTTCATATTATAAATATATTTTTTTTAATAAAAGAGGCAATTATTGTAGCACTATTTCTATGAAATCGTGCCCAGTTACTGTATTTAGATAGCATTTCATCCTATAAAAATTCAAATGTTAGAACATTAAACAAGAGATAATTGAATAAAGCATAATCTCAAAAAATTAAGCAAATCGAATTGTAACTATCATTTTACACCAATATACAAATTAAAAAAACTAAATAATTTAACAAATTAAAGAACAAAAAAAGAATCGCAAGCAAAAAAATGTTATTATAATATTTTTTAATTAAATTGAAATAATTAGAATTAAAAATAAATATTATTTAGTAAAAATTGAAAAAATTAAGTTTTATCATAAAGAGAAAATAATAAAAAAGAATTTTAAATCGAAAAAATATATTTATATGATGAATAAAATAAACTAAAAATATAAAAAAACAAAAATGGAGAAAACTCTCCATCATACTCCATAATAACCTCTGCATATTCTCTCCATCTCCATCTCCGTTCCTCATTTATTTTTTTATTTTTTTAAAATTTGTTTTGTTCAAATTATAAATATTTTTTTTCGATTTGATTTTTTTAATTCTTTTACCTTTATGACAAAACTTGCTTCTTTCAATTTTAATTAAATATTCTTTATTTAATTTTGATAACTTTCTTTTGTTTGATTTATTATTTTTTCAAATTGTTTTAAACTTTCTTTTTTCTTCATATTATAAATATTTTTTTTGATTTAAATTTTTTTAATTCTTTTAGTTTTATGATAAAACGTAAATTTTTCAATTTTAATTAAATAATACTTATTTTAAATTTTAATTATTTTAATTTAATTAAAAAACTTTATAAAATAATGTTTTTTTCTATTTTTGCCTACAATTCTTTTTTTTAATTTGTTAAATCATTTAATTTCTTTTCTTTATTAGAATTGGATTGAATGAAGTGAAGTGGTGTGTGAAAATGGAGAAATATTGTATTGAAAGTGATAGTTGCGGTGAAGTGGCCTGTAAAAATGAAAAAATGATTAAAAACAACGCAATGTCGTTTTTGCTCCCATGATTTTTTAGTAAAAAAGTTTTAAAATTCTTTTTAATTCTTTTCTCTTTATGATAAAAATTTATTTTTTGAATTTTAATTAAATAATATTTATATATTCTTTATTTAATTTTTGTAAGTTTATTTTGTTTAATTTGTTTTGTTTTTATTATATATATTTTTGAAAATTGTTTTCAAATTTCTTTTATCTTCTTATTATAAAAAAAATTTTGTTCGATTTAATTTAACTCTATAATATTTTTTTTCTATTTTTGCTTGCAATTCTTTTTTCTATTTAGTTTGTTTTCATCATGCCTATATATAAAAGAGAGGATGAGGGGAATAATGTTCATTTGTGGTCGGCGTTCACACTCATTCGATTTTCAACGAGTTTTCCTTTTTTATGTATAATAAATACAAATGGATATGAATTGCTCTCTCTCTCTCTTTCTCTCTATATATATATGTGTGTGTGTGTGTGTGTGTGTAAATATAATAAATAAATTGTATTGAAAATATAAATAGAACTAAATTGATGTGTGTCTATATATTATTATATTATATATCATCACTGGGAAGGCAAATACAAGTGGATGCTTCAGTTTTTTCATATTGACTACATTGGCTTTAGTAATAATTCTCATCTCACCCTTAACTTGAACAATTAAGGTAATATGTCAATCTATAAATTTGAGGGTAATTGTGATAAATTGATTATTAGAACGAGGGCATAATGGTCTTTTCAATTTTCAATTAAATCAGGTTTTCATCCCACGCGTAATTGCTTTCAATTTCCAATTCTTCTGCATTCTTCATCTTTACTACTCGAAAATAGATCACAAATCTTATATTCCTCGTCCTGTTCATAACCTTTTACATTCTTCTGCTTCAATCCTGTCGAAGTTTTGTGATCTCCAGTATGTTCTTTTATTCTTCTTATGTTTTTTTTTCCACCAGACGTGTATTTAAATTTTAATTTTTTTCTTCATTTTTTTCACGTTTATAGGAATTCAAGTGTACTAACCTCAGGTATGTCGGTTTGTTTGAAGTTATTTGCTATGGGGAAGTAATTAGTTTTTGTTTTCGAATTTTCATAATTTGAGAATTTAATTTTTTGTGTATTCAAACTAACCTTTGTATTTTTATTTTTGTGTTCTTTTTTATAGTGTTTAACTGTATTTTATCTCTAATAGAATTCACAGTTGCAGCAGTGTATTCTTTGTTTGATAAGTTCTTTAAGCTGATTTCGTTTCTTTAGTTCATTGTTCATCTCTCTATCTCTCTCAATTTTTTTTTTAAATTTGTTATTCTTTCTCTTATTTAAGTATATGTACTGAAATGTTTTCATAGTGTTTATTTTCAAATTTTATTATGAGTTTCTTAGGTTTTTTAATTTGCTTACATATTTAGAACATGTTTTTTTTCTTGTTGATTGTCGAGTTTTCTTTGTGCGATGTATGAACAATTTATTCTATTTTTCTTTGTATACCAATAAATATTCGTAAAAATAATTACTCATGAGTAAAAAGTTGTATGCAAAAACATTTAGAGAAAAAAAAAATTTACAAGTTAAAAAAAAATAAAATTAAGCAAAAGTAGAAAAATTCACTTATATGTAAAAGCATACACTTGTTAGTTAAAATATTCGGTGAAAAAATAAATACTTATTATTAAAATATCTAAGTAAGAAGTCACTTATAAGGAAAAAATTGAGTAAATTCACATATAATATAAATAAGAAAAATTACATAAATATAAAATTTTGGCTCTTTCTTTTTTCTACACTTGTCCTTGCACTTCTTTCCAATATGATGTAGCATTAAATTATGTCATACATTATAATAATACACCAAAGCTTATTTTAATCGAACATCGTCAATTTCTATCTTCCTTACTCATATGTTGACGTCAAAAATAGAAAAGACTATGATTGAGTCAACTTTAAGAAAGAGAACGCCTTTTTCTTTATTACAAGAGATAAAACTGCATAAGTTTGCTTTTCCATTAACAAAACAAAAATTTTTTCTCCCACGAAAAGAAACTATTTTGCACTATTTATAGGAGGTTTCAGCCGAAATTCCTTCATATCAATCAAATCAGCTACAATTTTGAACTCGAACAACACGTCGCCAATCTCTCCTCTAATTGGTCGATGAGGCCAATGGAATTCCCATCAGTGTAACCTTCAAGTAATGATATTCTGCAGAGGATAGAGGGGCCAAGGCAATTGATAGGTGGGTTTGGGCGATGTTGACGTCATTTTCGACAAGTGTAGGTAATTGAAAGGGTGAGTGACAAGATATAAAGAATCCGCAATCATTATGTTTTTTGATATTATGGCGGGAATGAGACCGAGCTGACCTTCACAGGCCTAGTTGGCATGTAACTGAAGTAGCTCTTGCGAACACTAAGTATGAGATCATAAATCAGTAGTCAACAATATATTTGTTATTTTTCCCAAATAACGTGTAAATTAGTTTATTATTTTATTCAGTTATACATCCTTGACATCATTCATACAAATTTGAAGAAAATAAATGTTTTTGAATAAACATTTAATAAATGAATTAGGGTAAAAACAACTTTACAAATCAGTGAATTATACAATTATTGACACCAACTATTAACTTTTTTAGCAGTAAAACAAAATTATATCATTTGTAGATTATCTTTTATTAACATTCGTGTATTTTTAATAAGGATAAAAATATTTGTACATAATTTTTTGTGAGAGAGGGCCCAAAGATCTCAGAGAAATTAATAGCCCTCCTCAGGCCAAACGAGTAATTATTGTTTTCTGAAGCAAGCTTTCTTCATCTTGATCAAACAAAGATGAATTGTTTATGTTATAAAGAAAATAGTTTGTGTTGGTTACTTGGAATAGTTAAAAGTAGGTTTTATGTATGTTTTTAAACGTCTTTGAGGTGATAAGAAAGTACGAGCAGATGTAGGTAACGAAATTGGTAGTAGAGAAGGCTAATTTCTAGGTCATTGAAGTTAATGGTGATATAGTTAGTTTTTAGTTTGATAAATTAAGTAAATCATTTATAAATGTTGTTAATTTTGGTTAGTTTTAATGTTGTTAATTTTGGTTACTTTGAAAAGTTAAAAGTAGATTTTATGTATGTTTTTAAACGTCTTTGAGGTGATAAGAAAGTACGAGCAGATGCAGGTAACGAAATTGGTAGTAGAGAAGGCTAATTTCTAGGTCATTGAAGTTAATGGTGATATAGTTAGTTTTTAGTTTGATAAATTAAGTAAATCATTTATAAATGTTGTTAATTTTGGTTAGTTTTAATGTTGTTAATTTTGGTTACTTGGAATAGTTAAAAGTAGATTTTATGTATGTTTTTAAACGTCTTTGAGGTGATAAGAAAGTACGAGCAGATGCAGGTAACGAAATTGGTAGTAGAGAAGGCTAATTTCTAGGTCATTGAAGTTAATGGTGATATAGTTAGTTTTTAGTTTGATAAATTAAGTAAATCATTTATAAATGTTGTTAATTTTGGTTAGTTTCTATTTGTTGTTAGCAATGCTTTGGTTTCTGAAGTAATTGTAAGTTTAGGGTTGTTTTGTCCTCTGACTAACACTGAAGTCTTCAATTTTTAATTCTTTTTTAATTTCTTTCAAAATGCAGAAATTTTGAAACATTGTGTCCTATGACCTCTACACTCGAATATTTCTTTTTAACAATTTGCATCAATTTTATCTAATAGTCAATCATGAGCCAAGGGAAAAGTTTAGAAAATGCTGTTGATAAAGTTTAATTTCCACCCATGTGTGAAAGTAATTTTGTTTGGTAAGAGTTCCAGCTATTCTCATTTGATGTAGGAGATAAGATATGTAGTTTTGCTAGAGATATATCTCCTTTTTAGTTCATTGTAAGGGTTTTTATGGTAGAATCACTCTTTTTTTCCCCTTTACCTTTTTCAATAGTTCAAAAGAGAATGTACTTTACCATAATCACATTTAACACACTAATATTTCCTACAATATAATCAAATCCGTGCATTGCACTGGCAAAAATTAGTGTGTGTGTGTGTGTGTGTGTGTGTGTGTGTGTGTGTGTGTGTGTGTGTGTGTATATATATATATATATAAACACAGGCATGCCAATTTTGTGCTTGTATTTAACCACTTAACCTTGATCCAACCCGACCTTCTTGTATGAGAAATGTCATTGGTATATAATTATATGTACATAAAGGTGTCACCCCTCTCACATGGGGGGCCTACTCGAATATTTTCTTCATGTAAGGTCCATCCACGTGAAAGAGCGGACACCTTTATGTAAAGGAAATTATGTACCATTAGCGTCCTTCGGGACGTAGTCCAGTAGTGCAAAGGACATGAGTGAGGTTATCCCACATCTTTTTGACACTTGGCAGTCACAGTGTTGGGGTTTGATTCCTGAGATATGAAATTGAACTCCTTGTAGGTGTAGTGTACAAGCAACTCTTGTTCCCTGACCTACTAGAGCACATCCCACAATTTACCTCCTACACAAAACTTTAGGAGCGTGACGATGGGAACCCTCAAAATTAGGATTCAACCTTTTTAATTATGTACCATCAACATTTTCCTTCTTGGATTCCCCGGACCCATCACCCCAATAGGTGAACCGTGGCGTAAACCAAACAACGGAAATCGCACGCCCGGACCCAATTTCCGGGTCTACAAAATTCGGTTATCATATCCAAACTCTTCCGGGAACCAAACCCTAATCCTCTTTCGGATCCTCCGATCGGACCGTCTCCGTAACGTCCACTAACGCACAAAATTCTCACTTTCAGGTTCGAATTTCCTTCTTTTTATGTTAGATCCGACCCACTTTACATAATCCAATGCAAATTCAGGCTCGGTTTTGCTCTATATATGTCCTATTATATAAATTTGGCACAATTGCTAACTAGTTGAATTCTTGATGAGTATTTTCGGATGGTTTGCTGTGTTTTAAGTGGAATTAGTTGGGTGATTATCTATTTTCGTTTGGAAATGTTTAAATGGGTACAATTGCTATAGGACCCTGCTAAAATAGAACCCATACTATTTTGAAATCAAATTGAACCTTCTTATTTTCTTATATTTTCGTTTCTTTTACTTGTTCTGGAGTAATCTTTTTGTGTAGGGAATGAGAAAAGTTTCTTGGGGAGGCAGTACTGGTACAAGTCCTGATTAATTCATGATGGGTTAGTTGAGTTCAAAGATTTATCATGCTGGCCTTTTGTATTCCTGAATTATCCATTTTAATTTATTTTTTGTCGCTCAATTCAGAAGTGTTATAAGTTATAACAACATAAAATCAACTTCTCAATTCTTCACCTGATGTGTGGTCTTTTCTGGAACTTTGTCTATGTTTGATTGCATATTTTCACCTTTCATATTGCGAATGAACCTCTGTACGTGAGCTATGCTGGCATATAGAACTTCTCGTATATCTTTTTATAGTTTTTTTTTTTTTTTTTTTTTTTTTTTTTTGGGTTTTTTTTTTTTTTATTTTTTTTTTTTTTTTTTTTTTTTTTTTTTTTTTTTTTTATAGGTCTTTTTATAGTTAGATATTGTTTGTCTTATAACTAATTGTGGGATGCTCCTTTCGCGCTGTTTGTCTGCTTTGAGTCCAATGTGTTGTGTGTCTGAGAATTTTGGTCCTTGTTATGACCTGCACTCTCTCCATCCAATGTACACACTATTAATGGTGATCTATGTTGTCTGCTTTGAGTCCAATGTGTTTGTTTCTTGCGTTGCTCTTATCTTAGCGGAACCAAATAATGATTTTTGAAGTTCTTCATTTAACTGATGCAGATAGATCTCTGCCAATATCAAGTCCATGTCATGGAAATATCAGATGAGACTCCTTCCAAGAAACCTAAGAGGTTGACATCTGTCGTATGGAATCACTTTGAAAGAATTAGAAAGGCTGACATGTGCTATGCTATTTGTGTCCATTGCAAAAAGAAATTAAGCGGATCTAGTAACAGTGGTACAACACATCTAAGGAATCATTTAATACGATGTCTGAAGAGGTCCAATTATGATGTTTCTCAATTACTTCCTGTGAAGAAGAGAAAAGAAAGTACTGGTGGTCTTACAACAGTCAGCTTTGAAGAGGAGAAAATAAAAGAAGAAATCATTACTGCTATACCATATAACTTTGTTCAGGAACAAAAGAAAGAAGAAATCAATCAAACCGTGAACGTAGGAATTGCTACATTTGATCAAGTTCGGAGTCAGTTGGATCTTGCCCATATGATTATGTTACATGGTTATCCCTTGGATATGGTCGATGATGTTGGATTCAAAATATTTGTGAAGAATCTGCAGCCCTCGTTTGACATCATGAATAATAGTGCTATTGAGCTTGACTGCATGACCATATACAGGAAGGAGAAACAGAAGGTATTTGAGGTCATACATCGTTTGGATGGTAGAATTAACCTTGCTGTTGGTATATGGGGTTCACCTGAAAATTCCGAGTATATGTGCCTCACAGCTAATTATATTGATTTTGATTGGAGGCTACAGAAGAAGATGCTTAACTTCATAAAACTGGATATATCTCATACTGGTGACATACTTTCAGAAGTTATTGTTAAATGTCTGAAGGACTGGGCCATTGATCGAAAGTTATTTTCTATGACATTTGATGATTGTTCTGCCTATGACATTATGGTCTTCAGGATCAAGGACTGGCTATCTCAAAACAAACCACTTTTGAGAAATGGTGAGTTGTTTGATGTACGCTGTGTGACACAACTTTTGAAATCCATTGTTCAAGATGTCATGGAAACAGTTCGAAATGTGACTCATAAAATTCGAGAAAGCATAAGGCACATTAGAAGTTCACAAGCAATCCAAGGAAAACTAAATGAGATTGCCCAACAAGTTGGAATCACTACTGAGAGACGTTTAGTTCTTGACTGTCCAATGCAATGGAATTCTACATATATGATGCTTGAAGCAGCATTAGAATACAGGCGTGCCTTTTCTCTCCTGCCAGAGCATGATCCTGCCTACACAATGGCTTTATCTGATTTGGAATGGGAATGGGCAAGTTCTGTTACAGGTTATATGAAACTTCTCGTCGAGTATACCAATGTTTTTTCAGGAGCCAGATTTCCAACCTCCAATATATATTTTCCAGAGATATGTGATATGCACATTCATCTAATTGAATGGTGTAAGAACCCAGATGATTTTCTTTGTTCAATGGCTTTAAAGATGAAGAACAAATTTGACACATATTGGAGCAAATGCAGTTTGGTTTTGGCTGTAGCAGCTATCTTAGATCCTCGTTTCAAAATGAAATTAGTTGAATATTATTATCCCCAGATTTATGGTGGTGATGCTCCTCATCACATGAAAGAAGTTTCTGATGGTATTAGGGAACTATTCACTGAGTACTCTATTGGCACAAGTACACTGGACAAAGAATCAGCTCGGGCTGGGGGAAGCTTAGACGGTACTAGCAATAGTAGTAGAGATAAACTTAAGGGCTTTGACAAGTTCTTATATGAAACCTCACAAAATCAGAGCATGACATCGGATCTGGACAAGTATTTGGAGGAACCCGTCTTTCCACGTAATAATGATTTCAACATATTAAATTGGTGGAAAGTTCACACCCCCAGGTATCCCATCCTATCTATGATGGCACGCGACGTTTTGGGTATTCCCATGTCTACTCTTGGACTGGAGGTAGCATTTAGCACCAGAGGTAGAGTGCTTGACCATCATCGGAGTTCACTGAGTCCAGATTTGAGAGAAGCTCTGTTATGTGGCCAAGATTGGTTGCATATGGAGCCAGAAGGTAATAATATTTCTTAATTGTTGCAGAATACTCTAGTATTTGAAAGAAAAGCTGATAATCCTTCCTTCTTGTACAGCAACCGGCTTATCCTGGAGTCATTCTGCTCTGCCACTTTATCTGGAAACAAGTTGACCTATCCACGGTATGGTTTAGTGAATTTATTTTCTTTCCTCTCTCTGCACCATGTAGTTGTAGTTGAATTCCTGAATGTATACTTTAAAATTTAAATATATTACTTTTTGGTGTCCTGGACGAGCCAGCTACTGGAAGTGGAAATGGAAGCAGATCAGTTTTGGTTTAATTTGTTTGTTTGGAAATTTCTTCAAAAGCAATGTAGATTAGCATTTACTCTCGACTACAATAGCTTTCATATTTTTATGTCCCACCTTCCTGTTTTGATGTGTTACCATTATTTCGTGTTTCTTTTCTTGGAGATGCACGAGATAAATTCAAGATAGACTCCAATCTAGAATCACGTAATCTTCGACCCTAGTACGAGCCTATACTATAAAAGAGACATATCCGCATGGAGATATGCAAGAATATGATAGCTTTATTCACTATTTGGTTGAGCTAAAAATTAAAATTTTTGTAGATTTTGATAAAAGTTGATAAAATGTTTGGTTCAAAAGTTGATAAAAGTTGTAAATCCCATAAAATGTGTAGTTGAAAATGAGTTCGAGGAAAAATGAGTTTTAGAAGATGAAGGCCAAGTAGGGGATTAGTATTCTGAATAACAAATAAAGAAATGAAAATAAATAGATATAATAAAGCTTTAACAAAAATAGATATAATAAAAGTTACATGAATATAGTTGAAGAAAATTGTTGTTGATCCATAAAAGAGATTGACTCTTTTTGATCAGCTGCCTTGTAATAAATATGAATGTAAGATGTGGATGGAATTTATATTGATTTGAAATTTGATTAAAAAGAATTTGTCTAAGATATAAACACTAATGGGAAAATTGCAGTTGTCCTCCTTAACCTTTAATCCATTTTCCACTTTGACAGTCAATTTTATATATCTCTAGTGTTGTCTTCAATCTTCCAATTTTTGGCACCTGTAGTCCATATTGACGGTTCCTGTTGAAAAATCTGTAAGTTGTCATAATACTAGTTTCAGAGAGAAACGGGAAGGTACATGAAAACAGGAGAGCGTGCTTGGATATTGCTATTAATCAGAAATGTGTCATGTCGCATCCAGTTGATCAAGAACTGAGGCACTGCGAGCGATGGTCAGGATTATACGTTTAAGCCAGAAGCGATTGTAAAGAGATAATTATAGATCAAAAGATCATAAAATAAATAATATTTATATAAGGACCTAAATGACTCTTCTTAACAATTTTGATTTTATAAGATGTAATTTTGAGTCTTATTAGCGTCGATGTAGATAACGTTTTTGGATATATCCATGAAGAAATGAATTTCTGAAGTACAGGGAAGAAATATCTAGACTGTTAATGTAGACAGAGCAAATCACTTGTAAAAATGAGGAAACAAACAAATTTCACCAATGAAAAAAGTCAAATAAACAAGAACACAAATATTGATAGGAACACTGAATTTCCGAAAGCATAACCACACAAATTGCTGCTCTAAAAGTTGGCTTGGAGCTGATCCACAACGCTCTTGTCCACCTGGAATGCCTTGGCAAGAAGATCATTTGCAATGTCTGGTTTTGATCCAAAAACAGCACCTGCAATGGTTTAACACTTGGATTGACTGCTCAGTATTTGTGTTTCCAATGTTGTGTTGGTAGTGAACAAGTCCTACCGGGAAAAACAAACACATTGCCCTTTTGAAGAACTTTAGTAATGTGGCAATTATCAAGGTTGGAGGTCACGAATCCAAAATGAAGAGAACCTTCAAGCACGATTAGGATTTCCGTGGCTTTGGGGTGAGTGTGAGGAGGGTTTAGTCTCCATGGTGCATAATCTGTACGAACCATTAAGATGCCCAGAGAATTGAGTCCTGGTAATTGAGCCACAATCATTGGGGTGACCCTCGGTCCCCCATGGGCACGATGTGTTACCAGGCGAATGCAGCCCACTAAAGGATAAATCATTCGTCGAAACAGACATAGGACTTGCAGGCTAGCCCATTTATTCTTGCTGAAAATAAACATAGAAATTATCATTGCTTTGTGTCGAAACATGTCTTTAACATATTATGTAAAGCATTATTAATTACCCAAGTTAGTAGAATTTGCGACACAGAAATCTTGCAAAGGTGAAGGCTCGAATGCGAAGGCAAAGCAGCTGAGCACCGATGACCAAATTATTTATAGACTCCATTAGTGCAATATTAATTACCACTCTTTTTTGTTGTTTCTGGAAATTCACGCCGTCCTGAAATTGGAAATTCCAATACAATCTTTGCACCTTATGGTAGATATTGGAAATGGTCAAAATATGAAATTCTTAATGTACATATAACAGTAAAATCGGACTTGTAAATTGGCCATTTGTGGTGGTGTTATGCAATTAAAGATTAATGTTTTGTTTATTTGGCGGACAGATGATGCTAGAAATTACTGAGTCTAAATTGACGTGATTATTATTCCAAAATTTGAAAAAAATTATAAAATAAGGGGAAATCAGAAAACACGTTAAATTAATGGTCAATATTTTTTTTAAAAAAAAAATTCCAGTTTTTTATATACTTTTCAGAGAAATTACAATCATAGTGAGCTACAACTGTTAGGTTTTGTAACTCAAATATGATTAGGAGTCTTGTGAGATTACGTATTTGATTTTTACTTGGACAGGAAGATTGTATCCCTCTTTATTTTAAAAGAGAGAATGTGAGGTTTACTGTTCATTTTTGTCATATAGGTTTTCACATTAAACTGGTTTGGTAACAGTAAATTATTCTATTAAATCACACTGTAGCATTTTTTCACACGTCATTTCACCATTTTCATACGCTGTTTTCACTGCAATGTCACTTCTACTGCAATATTTCTTTATTTTCACACACTACTTCACTTTATGGAAGTCAATAAAATATTAACTTAAAATTTTTGAAGTATAAATATTTAGATATATTTAGTTTTTAAATTAAATATTAATAAAAAGATTACATTGTCTAGAATGTAGAAAGTTATTTATAAATAAAAATATCATTTCAACTTATTTAAAAGTAATAAAAAACTGATAATTGTAAAAGCTATTTATAGGTAAAAAAAATATTAATCCCTCATTCTCTTATAATTGTAAAAGCTACTTATAAGTAAAAAAATATTTATTAAAAATATTTTAATTATAAATGTTTAGAAGTATTTAAATTTTTAAATTAAATATTAATAAAAAGATTACACTATTTAGAATGTAAATAGTTACTTATAAGTAAAAAAATCACTTCAAGTTATTTAAAAGTAATGAAAAAACTTATAATTGTAAAAGCTACTTATAAGTAAAAAAAATTTTAACTTCAACATTTTTAATTAAATATTTAGATATATGTAATTTTTTAAAATTAAATATTAATAAAAAAATTTGCTACAAATATAGTATAAAAAAAAAGAAAAAAAAATATGTTTGCTCCGTGAACGGAGCTTGTTTGTTCCGTGCACGGAGCTTGTAACAAAGCTCCGTACACAGAGCAAGCATTGCTCCAGAGTATTGCTCAAAGGGTTTTTTTTTTTTGGTTTTTTTTTTGGGGCTCTTTATGTGATATTAAATGAAGTCAAAATATTATATTATTGTTATCATTTTGAATTATTCACGACATAATATTACACGTCGTTAATGATGCGTGAAACGGTCAATCGTAGCAAATGTTACGGGACGTCAAAATAGGTATTTTCAAACTATTATTTTGAGAATTTCGATAACAAACTAATTTTAAAAATTCATCAACGATTGTACAGTAGTCGAATCAATAAATCTTCTATATTCTCTCGAAACTCGTTTCGAGAACTACATCATAAACACATCAAATGATATAAATGAATATCGAAAATAGTAAAACGTATATCAAATGTATGTGTTAAAAAAAGCGCATAACTCGTCTTTTTTCTTTAAAAAATCAATTATTTTATTAATATTTATTATTTTTTCTCGACAATTTTCTCAAAAAATTACTCCAAGTTATTTAAAAGTAAAAAAACTTATAATTATAAAAATTACTTATAAGTAAAAATTATTAAATTAAATTTTTAAGTAGATAAGTAGATATATTTAATTTTTAAAATATATTTTACACTAACACATTTATCTAAATGAAATTTGATAAAATAATAATAATAATAATAATAATCTATCTCTCCAAAAGATTGCTCTGTGCACGGAGCCAAACCTGCTTCGTGCATGGAACCATGTTTAGCTCCCTGCACGAAGCAAATGCTCTCAAACAATTTAATTTTTTTTTGTTTTACTTATGTTTTTGTTTTCATTTTTGGGCTCATTACAGGATATCAAATGAAGTCGAAATATTACATTTTTAATACAAATTTGAAGTACTCACGGCATAGTATTGTATGTCGTCAACGGTGCGCGAAACGGTCAATCGTAGAAAATGTTACGGGACATCACAATTGACATTTTCAAACTATTACTCTTTATTTCTAAAATGTAAAAAGTTATTTATAACTAAAAAGATCACTTCAAATTATTTAAAGTAAAACAAACTTATAATTATAAAAGCTACTTATAAGTAAAAAAATATTAACTTAAAATTTTTTAAGTATAAATATTTAGATATATTTAGTTTTATAAATTTAATTTTAATAAAAATATTACACTATCTAAAATGTAAAAAGTTACTAATAAGTAAAAAATCATTTCAACTTATTTAAAAGTAATAAAAAATATAATTGTAAAAGTTACTTATAGATAAAAAAAAAATTAACTTCAACATTTTTAATTATATATTTAGATGTATTTAATTTTTTAAAATTAAATATTAAAAAAATTACTGTAATTTAAAAAAAAAAAAACATACACTATCATTCCGTGCACAGAGTGGACTCCATGCAAGTTTTTTTTTTTTTAATTATAGTAAAGTTTTTATTAATATTTAATTTTAAAAAATTTAATATATCTAGATAATTACTTAAAAATTTGAAATTAATATTTTATTATCTATAAGTAACTTTTATAATTATAAGTTTTTTTAATACTTTAAATAACTTGAAGTGATTTTTTTACTTATAAGTAACCTTTTATATTTTAGATAGTGTAATCTTTTTATTAATATTTAATTTAAAAAAATTAAATATATCTAAATATTTATTTAAAAATCTATACACAGAGTGAATATTTACTTCGTGCACGGAGCAAAAAAAAAAAATTAC